TTTTATTTAGGATAAAGTTTTGGATGTGTGAATCTCAAGAGGGGAAACTCCAATAAAAAATTGACTCAATCCTTGAACTAAAACGGACTTGTCCCTACGAATTTATTCATGAGAGTTTATTTCTAGATCAAGTTGTTAGTGAGCAAGAGCACCCTTTCATTTTCAAAATGTCTACCATAGGCCTCACCTTTGGTGTGGATCTTGTTTCCCGAATGGATATGTCTAGGTCGAATGACTTTGCTAATGCATGGGTACATTTTGACCATATGGAGCGGGTGGCGGGTTGGACAACTATGGGAGCTCATGTGTATGATCCGAGGTAGTTTTTTTTCTCATTATCTTAAAATGGTTTTAAGCATTACCCTTTTCATAGACCACATTGTAACTTGACAATTGCAATAGCAGAGTTTAAAATACAAGACCAGATGGCTCAAGAAATATTTTGGAAGTCCCTCTATTGAAGTGGACTGGTAAACTTGCCAACTTTCGCAGTTTCATGGCAAATGGGGCTAGGGCTAATTGGAATGGTGTCCGAGCAGTCTTTGGGAATGGTCAACCCCTAGAAGGTCGTGAAAGGACTTGTGAGTCCATTGGGCTCAGAGCCTAAACCAACACTGCCACTTTATCAAGCCAGATTTCCAATTAGCATTTAGAGTTGTGTAAACAATGGCAAGTTGCACCTTTTGAAGAAGAGTATGAGGCAAAAGCAAATGAGATCCGAATGTGGTGGCGTGAAGATGGCCATACTGACGTAAGTTGTCTACCACAACTTGAGTTATGATTGGGGTGGTGGGAAGTTAGAATGTTCCAATGGGGAGATCACTCTTTTCAGGTTGGTTTTTCTTTTTTTCCTCTCTTTTATTGCTTTTTGATATCATCTTTTTATAAGGATCAACCACTTAAGGATCTTGCATACATCCCAACTGTGAATCTCTCAGAGAGTAAACATTGGAGCTGGCGTTCCTCTGAAGCAAGAAAAGGGAAGATGAGTTTATATAAAGCATGTCTATCAGATTTGATACGCGCTGTAGAGCAATCTTCAAAAGCCTTGGCATTTGAGGAAGGAAGATACATGGGAACAGGATCTTCGGTTGAGATGTTACACGATCGGATGAAGAAGAAAATGACTCCACCAGCACAAACAATGGCAACTGCAGTGGAGGAAGTGGTCTGTGGCACATCTATGGAGTACACTCCCTGGGCTTCTATTGGTGATATGAAGACCGTCCGCTCAAAGCGTCGCTTTTCCTTTGTTGGTGAAGATGTTGGCACGGATCTTGGAGCAAAAAGCTCTCACAGGCCTGATGTTGAGTATCATTCTACTCTAAGACATCGCCCCCGAACTGAGCCACCTCAAGTGGCTGATGAAGAAAGTGCATCACAGCAGGTTGAAATTGCTTATTGTAGCGTGGAGCCGAAGCAATGGGCAATCCGTCGAGTGCCAGCAAAATCAAATATAAGGTGTGTGGGGATGCTTCCGAGGGGCAAGTGTTGGGCTTGGATTCGTGGTGATAAATCTGCTTCTGTTCCAGCCCCATGTTTCCATGGGGAATGAAAGCAAGCAGAATTTTCAAGATGGTGTTGGTTATATTGCTGCAACACTGATGTCAACCATACAAAGCGGCTTGAAGACACTATAGTGACTAAACCTGATGCAGTATTTAAAGAATGGCCGGTTGCTAATGGGGTTGCGCTCACCTTGGATAAGATTGAAAACCTTAAGGAATTTGGTTTCAATCTTGAAAGGAGAGTTAGAGACATAAGTGATAAAACTAGGACTGTTCCTACAGAGATGCATAGGAGGCCAGCGAGAAAAGGTAAGGCAGTTAAATTTATTGGTACCGTCTCCAAGCAGAAGCAAGGTAAAATAAACTTGGCTCAAACACTTGAGTGTGAGATTCTCTCCACGAAGTACATCACTGCGCTTGCAAAGGAGTACATAGTCAAAACAGAAAATGAAGAGTACACAATTGCTATTCAAGACTTTCCTTCTTGCACATATCCAGACTTTATGAAGCGTGAGGAACATGGGAAGGCATATGCTCTTTGCAAGCATATGTACTACATTTTCATCAACATCTTACATTAAGATCCTAAAGTGGATATTCATATACACCAAGCAAGCCTTACTATTGCCGAGTTGCAAAAAACTTTTGGAGCTAATTAGATTTTCTAGCACTATCGATGTTTATTCTCTATCAATAATATAAACTAATTATACCTTATATAATTAATAAAAATATTTTATTATTTCACTTTTCATTTCATATACTTGCGAGGGTTCTTTTCGCAATACTACCCATAGTATTCGTCAGTTTCCATTTTTGTCTTTACCATCTCAAAAAATATTTCATAGTAGTCTTTCGGGTGCGTGATGTTACAATGTATTGTGAGAGCATATGTACCATCATAGTTGTTTTTTTTTTCCTTTCAAATGGTTATATGTCCTTATATATAATCTTAATTCAAATTTAATAATTTTAAAATTCTGATGAATATGACATTTACTAGTTAGAAAGCACAGAGTACAAATTTAAAGAAGTGACAAGAATACTCTTTTTGCAAACATTTTATTTTATGTTCTAACTACCATTGCATGTAGTAAATATTTAAATTATTAAAACAGGAAGTGTCCTTTAGAACATTTTTATCTATATAATATATAGAGAGTTATGAAATTATTAAGTTCGCCATAACTTTAAAATTTTAAAGTTTATAATGTTTGTACTAAATTACAATTGAAAATTGAGCTCAACTCGTGAGCTCAACTCTTCAACTCGTGAACTCAAGTATGGTCCACGCTCATCAGCTTGATATCAAAACGGCCTTTCTTTGTATAGAGTGGTGGTTATGGGAAATCAGTATCATAGCAAATAACGATCTCATGGGCAACAAGACCACACAAGCGAGCAGTAAGGCTATGCAACTCTATATTGCCTGCTTGACTGCAGCAGAAGAAGTGGAAGAGCAAACATCATGTTGTGGAGAAATCCATCCAACATGACCACTTGTAAAGCACTGCCTATTTCTTTTCACCCAGACAGACTTTGAGAACTGGGTCAAGGAAATCTGCTTCATCTTTCTCTGTAACAATTGTATGTGAACTGTGGGTGGAAAGAAGCAAAACTAGCCACTGGTGACAGAATAGGAAGAGTGGCAGATCCAAAACGACAAGGCAGTCTCCTCTATGAGGATTGGCTTGGGCAAATTAAGGATACAAACTTCATATGGTGAGTGGTAGTTAGGGGAAACTAGAGTGTGGTGGTGCAATTTGCCCAAGCCAATCCTCATAGAAAAGACTGCCTGGATCTGCCACTCTTCTTGTTCTGTGTCACCTTGACACGAACAAAGAGCAGTATGGATTGACACTGCTCATGGCAAACAAGCTGCCACGGCTAGAACAAGGTACCTTCTAGCTCCGATCCAAAGAAAGCTTGGGAGAATAGCTTCCTTGATAAACCATGAATAAGAAAGAAACCACGAACTTCACTACCTCTCCAAATGGACACTGCCTGCCTCATTGGAAGGTGGTGAGCCTCCTTGGCCACCTTGCGGAATGTGATATTTGCCATGACCTTTGCCATGACCGGGCTTTAAATATTAACTGAAGAAATCCTTGAAGACTTTAAAAAAAGACTAGGATGGATCTAATTCATTTTCCAGTGTGATTGAAGCTTTTGTTAATGTTCAGCTTATGACAACATCAGCGTTCTTGCTTGCAACGCGCATAGCTAGGAGGGGGTTGGCAGAATCTGCATTCTTGTTCTTCCTTGCAGCCCGCATAGATTGGAGCAAGGGATTGGACAGGTTGCACTCTGATGACAAGAAGTCCAAAAGCTTATCTTCATCTTCGCTTAGAAGCGTTGTGGTGCTCTCGATCAACAGCTTCCAGCAGGTGTCCACATTCCTGAGCTCGACCCCGTGAAGCAGTAACGCACAAGCCCCAATGAACTTGATCCGTGCACCACATTCTTGCACCAAGCTTCCCCCGACCATAAGCTTGAGAAACATCTCCAAGAAGCAGACAAGGCAGTCTGGCGGTACCTGGCCCCGTGCACACGCATCGTGCAGCTCCTTGAATATTCTATCAGCATCACTAGCCAGTTCAAAGGCAATGTTCTTGAAGCCCCGCAGCGAGACGGTCATAAACCAGGTGCCAAACTCTAAAACTGATCTCCACTTGCTCTCAGATACCAAGCTTCTCCAATGCTGGCGCATCCTCATCTCTGCTTGTGTTGTGGCTTGCAACTGGCCGTAGTCTGAAATGCTGGTGTAGAGATAACTGAGCTTCTTTTTACACTCAGGTGTGCATTGCCATGCCTCCAACGCCGTCCTAAACTCTATCATCTCAGCTTGGGGGAAGAAAGCCTTGGGAGGGCGTAGCTCTGGGAGAGGCTTCACTTCCATATCTTGCCTGTTCAGCCGCCGCTCTAGCACGC